ATTTGAATTGTAAGGTATGCAATTTCTTACATCATTTCAAAGAATCCAATTTTACATGACAAAATACAAAATCTGAGCGAAAACGGTCGAATAGGCATAAGAAAAAGAAATTTAAAAACACAATTCTTTTTTCTCTTCAAAAAAAAAAATTAAAAAACTGTAAAGTAATAAAATGCTCAAATTGTAGTCATTCTAAGTAATTAAAGTTGCAAAACCTAAACTAAAAAAACCATAAGAGGTTGAAATTTTCCCTACAATATAATAGTCTACAAATGAGGGTTCGCAGATACCTGGATATTTAAGAAAAAATCCAACCCACGTTGGCTTGTTTTTCATTTTTCTTTAAAAAAAAATATAAAAAAACAGAAATAATTGGGTTTTTTATATAAAAAAATTAAAAATAATTTGGTTTAAAAAAACGAAAACAATTATACACGGAATAAATAGGTTTTTTCATATAAATTCATCAAGCATATTTATATGTACTAAATATAAGAATAAGATACTGATAAAAATTGCTAAATTGTTACCAATGGAATTAAAAGAATTAGTTCTGAGAATCAATTTTTCAGCAGTATAATGAATTGCAGGATGACAAAAAAATTTAATATTTAATGCGTTAAGAAGTTGTTAACTTGTTTTAATGTTAATAAAAGAGAATTTTTAACTGGGTTTTAAAATTACATAATATAAATGCACATATTAGGTATCTGTAGCTCATGACATGCTTGTTTGTATTTTTCAATTCTTTATATGTCTTACAGTATCCAAGAAATTATCAATATTTTTAAATATTCCGAGTACATAAATTAAAAATTTAATGAACTTGCAGGAATGCTCATTAAATGTAAGTAATAAATAGGATTGAATTTATTCTGTGAAATGGCATAAATATATAGATTATATACAACTTATAAATAATCATCCACCCTTCATTAAATATAATTTATTTATCTATGTACTTTATAATTTAAACTGCTTTTTGTATAAGAAAAACATTTTTAAAGAAATAAGATACTTAAATATTAAATAAATTATATATTTCTGTAGTTACTCATTAAAATACAAAATATAAGGTAAATCTGAAGTGTCAAGACAATTTCATCTAACTAAAGATTAAAATAACATAAATCTCTTTATTATTCAAAAAAAATTTTTTTGAAATTTATTATTTTCTGTTTTGCAGTTTATAATTGATAGTACAGTTACCTAATTTAAAGTTATAAAATATTCATTCCAGTTCAGTTCTTATAAGAGAAGCAGTGAATAGCTGATTAATTTATTATATTTTGTCTTTCAATTGATATTTCATAAACTAAAGGTTCTACATACAAAACTTCCTCTTTAAATAAAGATTATTTCTATGTCGATGGAATTGGGCTCAGTCTATACTAAAACTCTTAAAATGAAATAATAGTCTCTATCTTTCAAAATAAAAATTGACAGAAGACGGAAAATTTTATTTTCTTGCACTTTGTTTAAAAATATAGATCATGATATTTAAAAATAAATATTGCATATATATATATCGCGTTATGTATTATGATATATATTCATCGATGTATTTTTATAAACCTTGAAACTGTTACAATCCAAATAAAATATGCAATGTGTGTAATTTGTATGCGTATTACATGTAATTTGTTTTAGATATGTTTTATTCATGTCCTTAGATATTTTATATTACGTTGTTGTAAAATGTTCTTTAATTGTGCTTCACTTTTTAATGTTTATATTAAAATTTGTGTCCAAAAGTCAGATTATTGAAATAACTTTGACTTCATACATTTTAATTTTAATACTTATAGTAACCAAGTCAAATTTATAAAACAATCAGTTGACAGCTTAAGAAAATTTGATAACTACAAGTGATTAAAAATGCAATTTCAACTTGTAAAATCTGAAGTAGGTGGCTTTAAAGGTGAATTTTTTTCAAGTGGATCTAATATGATAAGAATCCACCAAGTTTTTCGGAGCTAAGCTTACTCTGCTACACATAAATAAAAGTTAATAAGATTCCAGCCAATTTGAATAAACACTACATAGTAGACATTGAAGTAGAGAATTGAATCATTGTGTGTTAAAATTTAAATATATTTTCATAGAACAGGAAGCACATTTTAAACAATTGCCTCAAAAGCGTTAGAAAAATGTTAAATTAAAAATAGCTATATTAAAATCTTTGGAAAAGCTCTTTTAAAATTAAATCACAGAATAGTAAACTTTGAAATGCTCTGAAACAAAAACAAAGAAATTTTCTTCACAAAATAGTTATTAATTTTGGTTATCAATAGAATTATGATCTTATTCTTAGGAAATATTTTTCATAAAGATATCCTTATAAATTGTTTCTGGAACTATTTCAAATTTTCTAAATGTGAAAGGAAATAAGATAGCAAAGTATGCTTATAATTTTCAGACAACAATAAAAAAGTTCTCCCAATGCAGTCATCTTCATAGTTACAAATGGAAGCATGGAGAAAGGACGGGGTTGATTTTCTAAAGTTGCAATTTCGAAGCTAAAAATAACCTTTTAACTTTCTCTCGACCCAATATTAGAATTTAAAAGTAAATAAAAAAAGTAAACTAAAGATTATCAATGAGTGATTCGTGCACCACATTTATTAATTTTCACATAATAAATACAATGTTCTGGTCAATATTTTGGTAATAAATACAATGTTCTAGTCAAACTAAAACCATAGCTACACTACAGGACTATTCCCAATGGTCTGGGATTCATCTTTAGTGATGATTCAGAAACAATACTGGCAGCCCATGAAGGCACTACATAACCACAATAGAAATAAGTGGGTAGAAGATACCAGATCGCCATTTCATGCTCTCCAATCACATGTAAATTTTTTTGGCTAAAAAATCCTTGACAATATTATTCAGGTGGACTCCGAACTATTATCAATTACTACATTATACACAAAGAAATCGAACCCCAGCCAAGTTAAATCTACATTTAAATATTGCAGCTAAATAAATAGCATTCAAATGAACCCCAGCCCAAGTCAAGGTAAGCAATACGACCATACCAACCACACCCTTTAGTCAGTGTTAAATATTATTATAGACAGTGACTTGAAATTTACAATTAATTACGTCTTTCAATTAAATCTACATTTAAATATTGCAGCTAAATAAATAGCATTCAAATGAAGATTAGAATTGTCAAGAAAAAGTATCAGTCATTTCAAGAAATAATGAATGAATCATATTTTGCAGCTTCAGAAACTATTGGTGCTAAATCTGTTATAAAGACTTTTTTATAGTTAATAGAAAGCAAGCAGTGAAACAGGTTTGACTAAAACAATTATCTTTTTCTCTTTGTATTCTATTCAAATCAATGTGATAAAAAATTGAATACCATCTGAGTTGAAGTTTCAATTTTTTACCTGCTATTCTCATTGGCAAACTAGGAAGCAATCACTATAGGTTTTGAGATCTCTTACATACTCTTTTACATTGAAGTCATCTCATGTCTTCAACCGTACTAATTTATATGCTTTATTAAGAAAAATTTTCTTCAACAGTTAGCAAAATTTTTTATTGATTTGAAATCAGTGTTCTTATTGGCTTCTGAAAAATCTTAGCAGTTTGGCCAATCTGCAAAAAATAAAAGCCAAGGAAAAGAAAAAAATGCTCACAAAATAAGATATATACCCTAAAGTTGATGATCTGTTTATAACTTTCGGCTATAGATATTACTGATAAGGTTATTAGTCTTACGACAGATTATCTATTAACGAGTAGATTAACTAGAGTGATCTGTTTAACTGTCAAAAAATTGTTTCATTTCTAAAATTGCATCAAATCTAGCAAAGGCTCATGAGAAGCTTTTTTTCCCTTTAAAAATAAAAATTGCTGAGAGAGACAAATTTGAAAAGTATAACTTGTCATCACATCTTGGTAAATTTTTTTTTTTGTACTTTGGAAATTGGTACCAATACGGAAATATCCCAATACCAAATTTATAGCAAAGTTCAAGGGAAAAAAAATAATAATAACAATTACAATTAATATTTATAAATAAACTACAGAATTTTATTTATTTATTTATTTTTTTTTAATGGCGGGCATTTGGGATGTATTGCCCCATTGGCAGGAATGCCAGAACTGCTACTCTCTTCTCGTTACCCAGTGGGCACCTGTGGCGAAGCAATGGCGGTGGAGCAGCGTTGCCCATGTCACACAACCACAAACCCATTTGTAGGGCACATAATTTTAGTTTCATTAAAAATATAAATTTTTATTATGTTCACTTATTAAAATTCTCTGTGACCTGTTTAGCACAGAGCAGATTGATTTTATTTCTTATTATAATTTATAACATAAATTATAATAAAAAAATTAGAACTAAGTAGTTAAATAAAAAGGGATACAATTATCTACCATATACAATGCAATTATTTTGATGTATCAAAAGATTATAAAATTAATAATTATTGAAACATCAGATAGATGCAGAAGAAAATAGTTGATCTCGCAATATTTGCTATGTCATAATATGAAAAAGTATCACTAATTTACAAGAAAACAACGTGGACATGAATAGTCTTTTAGATACTTTTATAGATTTTCAGAAAACATTTTTATAGGTTTCAAAGATTAAAAACAGACATATGTTGGTACTTTTTAGTTAGCCGAGTATAAGTTAAAAGTTGCAAAAAAAAAAAAAAAAAAAAAAANTTAAAGAAAAAAAAAAAAAAAAAATGAAGACTTCTGCCAACTTTTAAATTTAAGTATGTATTTCAATAATTAAAAATTTTATAAATAAAAAAGTAGAGGAATTTCCTTGCGACCAGCTAATCAAAAAGTACCCCTTTTTCCGTTTATGTGTAATTCAAGTAAATAGAAAATTTTATGAAAAACACAAATGTCACAAAATTTAATTAAGACATTTTATTTTTGATACATATAAATATTTTTCTAAAAATAGATATGTTAAATTTAAAGGGGAAAAAAAACATGTTCTTGTAATAAACTATGAATATTTTGACAGACATTTATTGTAGTTGCACATATGTAATATATTTCTCACAAAAGCAAATTCGGTTACATCGAAGCTACAATGACTTAAAAAATACAAAATTTGTGGAATGATGAATACAAAAGAAAAATAAATATCAAACACTCAATTTACAAAACAATATATTGAAATCCAATTAAAAAACTATTATTTTTTCTTCAGATAAGAGTAATATCATACACATTTCCTCCAATGAGAGGCTAATTATAACTACAAAGTGACAATTTCAGAATTTATTCGAAAAACATTGGCGAACACTTAGTGTCACACTCAGCAGATATGACAAACCTTTGGTGTCAAATTATTTTACAAAATCACACAACACGAGTTGGTTTTTCTAGCTGTGGTGTAAAAAGTTTTAGACTGAAGGCTTAACTGCTCAGACTTAGAAACAAGATCATCCAATTTTTCTCCACGGTTTAATATAGCTTCAAGGGTATTATGCATGATAATTTTAGTTTCATCTAGTTCATCTTGAATTTTTGTTATAGCATCAGCATTTCGAGGATTTTGATAATCTGTGAGATATTTCTCTAAAGCAGGAAAAACAACGGAATTAGGATCTCCAGACCAAGCAGTAGGGGCCACTTTGCTCGAAAAATCTTCTAGAACTTTATTCAAAATGGTATGCGCAACTCGGTGAGGATATTCGTGGTCTGAAATTAAAGCTGCAGCCAATCTATCAGCTCTAACGTAAACATGGCACATATAGGACTGCTCTTTAACAGATGTTCTAGTAGCAGGTTGACTCCTTTCAATAAGGATTTGACTAGTAAAATTCAAAAATTCTTGAACACTATTTCTTTGAAAATAGCCAAAAGACGTTAGGTCACTTGTTGAACAGAGGGTGACAGTTTTTGTTTGATGTTTATACGAAACTGATAAGTGAAACAATTTTACCATCTTGGATATTAGAAAAACCAAATTTATCTAGAAAATTTAAGCAATGCTAAGAAAATTTAAACAATAGTATTTTGGTTATTATAAATTATAAGAAAGAACCTGAATTTATTAATTATATCCAATTACTGTCATAATTTAATATAACAGTACGTCGTCAGTTTTCCTTATTGTTTATTTATAGTTCGATCTTCATTTCACTTCATTTCATCAGCAAAATAATTATTCGGAAAAACGAATACAATGTTTTTACTTTAAATATCTGAAACAAGTAAAATTTAAAGCAATATTCTGATTTCATTAAATAAGTGATATCCTGATTTTATTAAATATGATTGAAAAACATAAATGCTTTTAAAATCCCCTCAAAATGCCATATCAAATATTGAATGAAAACGTTCCTTTTTCAAACTCAATGCACATAATAAACTGAATAAGTTGTTTAGTATCATTTAGTTAATATTAAAGTCGATATTTTTAAAACAAACAAAAGAAAACGTTGAACGAGTTTAAACTGTTTAAACAGCTAATTTGGTATAAAAATGAGAATTAAAATCTGGCAATACCTAATCTGTTGTACTTTAACTTTCGAAAATATGGGTTCATCAGCTATCCGGCTAAGATTTGCTTTAGCAAATATATTAAATGTTTCGAGAAAGATACCACATGTTTCCTGCAATGTTACAAGAACTTACTTAATATCCAGTTTAAATTTGTATAAATCTTGTAGTTATCCTCTTGGTAATTCCTATTTCTGTGGCAAGGTAAACAAAGGTTAAATTTGGCATGATAATTATGCTAAGGATTTTTTAGCCTGGAAAACTATATAATTTATGTTGTAATTTCGTGTTATGTATTATTTATGGTAAAATTGCCTTTAATATGCTTTTTGTATAATTTTTCTAGTTATATAAGGTTTGTAATTTTCGAAAAATTCTAATAAGCAATGCAAAACTTTTCGCATCTTATCGAGATCTTATTAATTTGAAAACAATTATATTTAACATTTTAGCATATCATTATATAAATAAAGGAAATTTAATTAGTGTGTACTAAAAGGAGTTGAAAGTTGCATAGCATTTAATATCAGCTAGCATATTTATGAATATTATTCTACACACTATTTGTGGGGAGATTTCCGTATCCTGATCTGTGGCAGAATAATCGTCTTGGAAGGAAAGTCTGGAAAACTTCCGTGTAGCGGCCCGCGAGAAAATAAAAAAAAAAGCATCGCAGAAAGGGACTAAATCAAAAGGTATAACTCGTAACCATGTCCGGGCAAACAACTAGGTTTTTTTTTTTTTTTAAATTTGCAAGTTTAAAATCTAATTGGCGATTGTAGTTGTAACAGATCACGATATGAAATATCCCAGAGTTTAACTTGTAGCTTACCTCCAGGCAAACCTGTATGTGATTTAAAAAAAACAGAAACCGTAATTTTAAAATCCATTCGGTATCTTGGCAATTTTAGTTGGTGAGGCAGATCAGATACGGAAATATCCCCTTTAATTAATTTGTCGTGAGTGCTGTCTGCAATCCCAGCTGGGATAGCAGAGCTATGCCAGATCCATGAGGCCGTGAGTCTTCAAAAAATCAAGGAAAATGAGAGGTCTCTCAAGAACCTCTTCCATGGTGAAATCCAGGCAGTCAAGTAGATGGTGAGGACTAGCCTTGCTGGGGTTGCACTTTTTACAAGTTGGAAAAAGTTAAACTTGTCTACTGAAAGTGAGGCTCTTAGTATGCCCACGGACAAATCTATAGGTAGCGTTTGGTCGGCACATGTACCCTGAAGGTCAAGGGCTCCTCCAGGACGCTTGCGGGGATACCAATTGTGATCTGGTGGAACAATCCAAGCTTTATTAATTTTAGATTTGGGGATAGAAAATAATCCACAGTAAATGAGGGCCGTGTTCGGAGAGGCTGGGAGGGAAGTACCTTCTTTTGCCAACTGATCAGCAGGTTCGTTGCCAAAAAGACCCATGTGTGAGGGTATCAACTGAATATGGATGTCATGGAAAGTTGAGAGCGCATTTAATAAACGAAGTATAGAGACACCAGCCTGGTCCGTTACTCTCTCCCAATTGCTCAGTTGCTGAATACACCTACGACTGTCCATGAAGATCCAGACATTCCCAAAAGTGGCTCTAGTCCTGATATTTTCCAGACCTGTTTGAATAGCAATAAGGTCACTGTGAAACACTGAACAGAAATCTGGATTTCTTAGTGATCTTGATTCGTGTACTTCAGCGTGATATATAGTGTAAATTCCACCGCCGGCGTGGTGGTGATCGTCACCTCTACCATCCGTATAGATTTTAAGAACGTCAGCAGGAACAAGGTTTATTATCTCCAGAGCCAATTGCTTCAAGTACTCCGGAGGGTGGTTGCCCTTAGTAACCTCAGAGAGCATTGTAGTATGAAAGAATAATCTGTGCAAGCCCGCAATGGGACATACAGCAAGTAATTGGTATATAAATTAAATTTTTAAGTATATATTTCTTTTAAATTCCCTACCAGGACAATGCAAAGTTAAAATGCTTTTAATATCAATTAAAGAATGGTCATAATGGTGCATGATTTAAATGAGGATTAGACAGGTCATTTAATAACTTATTAAATCAGATTTTAGCACTTTACAAAACTCTGAGCTATTCCCATGTTTTTTTTTTTTCATATTAATTTTTAATATTACTTATTTTGGTCATTTAAAATTAGTGCAATTCATAAAAATATATAGGTAACTCACACACTATTTTATGTAAGAGACTGCACCAGTAATGTATTTTTTGGAATTACGATGGCATAATGAGGCATGTAGTTAAATAGGTTTTAACCACGTTTTGATTACAATGTTTAAATTCATCTAATTCTATTTTTTTTTTAAAGTAAAGACGTTAACTGAACTTATAAAATACAAATTCTTATCTGTTTTATTAATTTCTAGTTTAAAACCCAGATTTATCCAAATCCTTGTTCATAGTATCAATTCTAGTAGTATCAAATAATGTAACAGGAAACAAATTAGTTTAATAATTTGCTTTATTTATTATTATTTTTATTCTGCTGATGGTATAAAATTATTTTTATGGAAATTTTCTCAAAAATGAGTCAAATTATTGATAGAAAAATTTGGCTTATAAGTCATAAATTATTTAACTTAAACTTTATGTTAGTTTTAAAAATGTTTCCAGAAAACTCTTTATGTACAAGAAAATGATAATTTTAATTTATATTATTATGAAACTGTGTGTTTAGACTATTACTATTGTGTTGGCATGTGTGTATTTTTAAAAAAATTTATACACGGAAAACTTTGTTTGGAAAAAGACAATTTTAATTTATTATGTTATAAGTCTGTGTGTTTAGATTAATACTTTCATGCTTGCAAAATTTCATTTTACATGGATATATTATCGATCATATTCTGAAACCTGTTGTGTATTCATTAGTGCTGTTAGTACCTTCATTTTTAGTTTACCAAGAAATGAAAACCTATTTTGGGTCATTTTGCATATAAGTAAATTGTGTTTTCAAACTGTTGTGAGCTTTTTATGCTCAATGAAATTTGCTAGTGGTGGAATAAATATGCCTATTTAATTATTTGTCATGTCCACAATCTTTATTTGATCAATATTTTCTATTCTTAGGTCTTTGCCAACTTAACTCCATCTGTAAGAAATTTTTCTAGTGATGAGAAGTTTAGTTCAGAGGAGGTAACCCAAAAAGTTTTACATGTTTGCAAAACATTTGACAAAATACCAGCTGACAAGGTAATAAAAATTACGTGTTTTAAAAATACTAACTCTGTGGAAATGATTATATAATTTTTTAATTCTATCTAAAATGTATGATAAATAATTTACTTATAAGTAATTCTTTTGAATATTATTTTAGCTAACTTTGGATTCACATTTCATGAATGACCTTGGTTTAGATAGTTTAGACCATGTGGAATTAATCATGAATATTGAAGATGATTTTAACTTCGAAATTCCTGATGCAGATGCGGAGAAGTTATTGAGAGTTAAAGATATTATAGAATATATTATTCAAAAAGGTTTAAGTGCTGCTGAATAACAAAGATTTTTAGGTAACCTTATATCTTTACTTTTATATTGATATTCTTAAAATAGTTATTTAAATTTTTTTTCTTCCGCTTCGTATTTATCAACGTGATTGTTTCGCAACTTTGTAGTTAGGGAAGTTTTTAAAACTAAAAGAAATTTATTAAATGTTCTTGAGTTTACATAAGAAAAGTACTTTTAACTGCTTGAAATGAGGCTCGTTAGTACCAGGAATATCAGGAAAACTGGTAATTTGACGCACTATCAAATTGAGAGAATACACTCTTTCGTTTTTAGCAGTAATTTTTGCTCAAGCAATAGAGGATTAAAAAAGATAATCATTTTTCCCCCAGACGAACCGTTATTGAGTGTATCCTCAAGGTACCTACTATTATGAAGCATTTCTGGAATGTTGTCAATAGATGTCAGAGTTCCTTGAGAGTATAGACTTCTTAAGTTTTTTTTAAACCACTTTTGTTTCTCAAATTTTATTATCCTTGATTTATTATGACAAATTATTGTTTTATAATATCGGATAATACATTAATTAATACGAATTGAAATTTTTTTTTATTGTCTGCAGGTTTGCTATAATACCTGGAATACTGGGAAAAGTCAGGGAATTTTCTTTAAAAAGTTCTCTCTTGTTGTTCATTTTTGTATCTTTCGCATTATGCAGGTATGAAAGTATAAAATTAAATTAAACAGGGATACAAAATTAGTTATAAAAAATTCATCAAAATTAGGGATAAAAAATTCATCAAGGATTTTTCATTAGAAATTTCTGCCATTGACTTCCAAATAGCTGGATAAAAAAAAAAAAAAAGAAAAATGTTGTCTAAGTAAGACAAAAAATATTATTTTAAAAAATATTTTTTTCTCTTTTGTGTCATATATTTCTTTGGTTGTTACTACCATTTTTTTTCTGTATTGTGGTGTTATATTTTTTAATTGAAATGAAATATACAATGTATTGTACAAATTAATAATAGAAATTTTTTGTGGTTAACTGTATATTTTGACTGCAGTGCTGTCAGTACACGATGTCTGTCTGGCTGGAATTTTTTAAAAATATGTCTGGAAAAGTCAGATAATTTTGTTCTTCGATTTCAGTGATAACCCTGCGTCTGCTATATTTATTTGATATCTATTAAAGAAACATTTTTTAATTGAATGGATTCTGATTACATAGAGGCCCAGAAGCAGAAAGTGCCTGAAACTGTGACGTACGTAGCAGAACAAACGGAAGTCCTGCAGAACAATTTGTATATTAAATAAGTGACAACGTTTTCCTTCGAAAGATTTTTAAGGCAGGCCTTATTTTAATGTTCGGACCTTCATAGCATAGGCATTTTATTAATAATTCATCATTGTCATTAACAAAATTTTGTACTTCAAAAGTGATTGAAAAAGTAATAAATCAAGAATGTTTGCCTTGGTTTAAAAAATAATGTAGTGTTTCTGTGCATGATCCTTTTTTTTAATAAATGAAAATATAGTATTTTAACGTAAAGTTGATTTTTTTTCGCTGTGAAATGCTTGCAGAACATTTGCATAAATTAATAAGTCCTGTTGCAGAACATTTGAAAATATTCTGCTTATGGGCATAGAGGTGCAGTATCATTTACAAGTTTTGTCTGATGTGGAATTACATCTGTGTTTGTTAAAAATCGTCAAACTCTTACCAATAAAATATTCTGCTTTTATAGTATAAGTATATTTTTTCTTTTTGGTAAAATAAGAAAAAAAAATAAAAGCAGATTGTTTATACATAAGCATACCATTATTTACTACTAAAAGCAGACAATTATTTTATATAGCAGACGGCAATTTTCTCTTTTTATTAGTGATACATTTCTAATTGATCTAGTTCTTATTCATGAATTTTAAGATATCTGTTTTATTTTTTAAAATTAGTGTGAGTATTGTTTCCATTTGGTAATTTTTAAGTGTTTTTATTTAATTTGATCAATAAGTTTTCCTTCTTTTTTATCACTTTTTAATGATTATTTTTGTTATGTATTAATTAATTTTTTAGTGTTTTATTATAATTTGGCTTAACTTCAATCAGGGTTGGCAAGGTTTAGGACAGAATGGATTAATCCACGACTTAAACCGTTTTGTCCAAAACTCTTTTACTCAAATTATGCCACAATTTTATCTGAACAATATTTAAGAGGTAAAATAAACATAGAACTAATAACATATTGATAATTAAATCCACTAGAGAATATTTGTTTTTAAAAGTATAATGTTTTATTAATATTGTTTGACCCTTCAATTTAAACATTAAACAAAACAAGATTAATCAGTAATCAAGTTCAATTGGTCCTCTCATTCAATAGTACATAACTGGAGTTTGACCTTGCCATACAGATTAAGATATTAGGGAAGGGACTAAGTGCTTGGTTAGTCATAAACAGGTTTATCTATCTATAGTACTATTCAAGAATACTTTTATTTATTTCATGTTCAATTCTTTTAGCATAGTGATGATACAGGACCAGTGTCAGTAACTGAAACTGATGTTATCCCCTTCAAAACTGTTAATACATTTTCCAGTTATTTTTGTATTTTCAATTTAAGCTAATATATTTATACTTAAAATTTTTTTTTTTTTTTTTTAATAGATGTCTTTTTTATCATCCTGTTATGCCGGAATTATAAAATTTTTTAAAAACAATATTGTGAAAAATAAAAGGTTAATTTTTAAACGGTATTAAAAAGGTATTTTTTTAAAAAAATTATTATTTATTAATATTGCATTATTGATCTTTATGCAAAAACATTATTTATCACTATTAAAAGCATATTTATATTTAAACTCACTTTTGTTGTTCAATGAATTGTGGAGCTTCAAAAACTATAAACTTTTTCATATTATATTATATTATTTTCCTTTAATAAGTTGAAGTAAATTGTATAAAAAATATCAAATATTTATTGATACATGTAATTATTATGTGTACAATGGTTACACCTATAGAATTTTTACCCTTTACCAAATTTCAAGGTTTTGGACACTTTAAGACAGTTTTACCCAGTTTAAGACAGTAAAACCCATGTGTCCTGTCCAAAACCAGTTTAGGATGTCTAAAACCCCAACCCTGACTTCAATTAAATGGATAACATTAATTAACTTACATGATTGTTGGTTTGTGATTTACCATTATAATTTTTTTAAATATTTTTTTATTAACATAATGCATTTTTAATATTTATTTCCCTTTTATTCTTAAAAACCTTCATCAGTTAACTAAATACTATTTAATTTTAATTACAGTTTGTTTAATATTTTTATTAATTTTTTTAGAATGACTTAGTTTTGAAAAGTTTTTCTTTTCTTTTTTTAATTAATAAGTTCTCCTTTTCTTTTTCTTGCAGCTTTGTTTAATATTTTAGGATAATGTATTTATTTTATAGTTAAAATTAAAATTTTTATATTTGTGTCGTTTTTTTTTTTTTTTTNAGTAAAATTTGTAACAAAATATTGAAGAGTCAATTTTAAACTCCAGATTATTTTTTTTTTTAAATTTTATTTATTTTTGTTAATCTGTTATATAAAAGCTGTTGATTTTTAGTTATTTTATGTATTTAATTTAATTCAATAAATTATGATTAACTTTAATTAAACATTGATTGTTTATGTATTTGAAATTTCTTTTTAGAAAGGTTTAATATTTGATGTTAAAAATATATTTTTTTAATTATTTTCTTTTCAAATTAGTTTCATTCAAATAAGTTTCGCATTCTTATTTTTGCTTATCTTTCCCCTAATATTTTTAAATCAATGAAAAAATATTTAGTTGATAGATTTTGGCTGTGTTTGCAATAGATAATGTATTAATGGCCAACATTTTATATGTTTTTTAGTGGTAAATTGCCTCATTTTGCTATATTAAGATACAGCATCTGCTGGTTTGTAATTTCTGATTGGTAGAGTCTGCTGTTTATAGCCATCAAAATTTCAATCATTTATATATAATAACATTAAACTTTTTTTTGGTCATCAGAATCCTGACCACAGGGATATTAGAATCAAAACCACTTTGTCCATCATCGAAATTTACTACATACAAAGTCCTTTGAATCAGAGAACAAGTGACCAAAATCAATGTTTCACATATGTTTTTTAAGAAATGGACCAGATTGTCTCTTGTCATAATAACACCAGGCTCTTGATCGACACTTATAAAAACTAATTATTTTTCATTATTTAAGGGAGGTGGGATTTGTTCGCATTTAGAAAGGTGAGATTTATGGGGAAAGGAAGTGAAAGTGAAAATAAGAGGTGCTTACTTAGTTTAGTCCTGTTTAAACTGGTAGATAGCAGAAGTTTTCTTTTACTTAATTATCTTTTTGCTCGCAGCTGGTTCAACAAGTGAACCGAAATAACTGGCTTTAACATGCTAAGTGCCATGTGTCAAAGTTTAAAGAATCAAAGAAGAGGAGCAAATTTAATTTGTCTAACTTAAACCTTATTTGTATAAAATTTAAATATAGTTTCACTTATTCAATTAAGATTTCTAATTAAATATTAAACTGCAGAATTTTTCGGTGATTATTTAGATTGTATATTTACACTCATACTGCCATGAAAAACCTAAAAATTTCAATAGATATTCTGTTAGTGAATTCAGCTGTTTGTTGTAATTAAAACCTTCAGGTACTGAAATGATCACATTAAACAACGGACATTGCATTTGTGGGTTTTCGGAATGTGGAGTAGACTGACCGAAAAGAAGCATCCCAGTAGAACACTGAAGTCAAGCATCACTTGGTGCTGTCAGTAAGCAGGTGGGTGACTACTTTGATTAGCCTGTGTAGGGACCGAGGGTGCACAGTGCCAGTCCTCGTTGAACTGTTCTACCATTAAATGCTTGACTTCACACACAGGTACTCAAGTTACCAGGACGGGGGAGTTATCCTCTCTGCGGAGAATCAAAATTGTAATAGCATGCCTTCGGATCATCCTCAAGAATGTTTACCTGTCCATCCCCGATAGCACATTGTGCAGCTCCAGTGCGACATAAGTAAAGTACCTACTTATCAGAATGTGGTGTTGTTTTCAGTAAGATACTGATTCAAATGAAGTAACTAATATCATTACTTGATTAAAAACTTGATTGGCTTCAAAAATATATAAATAGGAAATAATTCGACATGTTTCAAGTAAAAAACAGACCCTCACTGAGTGCTCGGACATGTTGATAGTTATTTCCTATTTATATATTTTTGAAGTGAATGAAGTTTTTAATCGGATAATATATCAGGATTATTTATTTAATTAACATCTTGTTTTAAGTTTTATAAGATTTCTATATCATAGATTTAAATCCTAATTCAATAACTAATTAATCTTAATTTTATAAGTCACATTTGTGGGAATATTTTTAATCATAAATAATATAAAATTTTAATTTAGCTTCTTTTTTCTAATAAACGAAAATGTGTGAAGATTAAATGTCTAAAATTTTAAAAAAATTTAATTTTTGAATAAAATATTAGTTATTTATGTTAAATTCATACTAAAAAACCACAGTGTAGTATCTATGGCTGTTTTAATCATTTCTAATTCTTTTCGTTACAGTTTAAAATGTCTAATTGTATCTGTATCCAAATCTAATAGTTATTATTTTTTATTTTAGACTGAAGAAAAGTTTTGTGTTTGAACATATTAGATCTCTGACATTATGTAGCAAAAATACCTTTCATGCATTTCAAGATTTTTTTCCCTTTCTTTCAAGTCTTAAAATTAAGTTAAATGTAGATTTAAAATGTTTACTTTGTATTAAATAATTGTTTTGTGTTTACTAGGCATTAAATTATAGAACTGTATTTCTTTTACCTTTCGTTTTTGTACTTGAAAATTGTAAAAATAGTCTGATACATTGATTAAAGTTCCATATTTTTTGTATAATGCTTTGTTTCTTTACACAGTATTTAAATAATTTTCATTATAGTGCATGTTTTATATTGAAATTGAAAGTTGTTTAATCGTGTTATCTTTACCATTTGGCAAATAGTTTTTGTGATTTTATTCCTCTCAGGATTATCAGCTTTGTAAATTGACTACCTGTCTATGTTGGCATCTATAATCAAGAACTGAATTTATCCTATATAGTTAAAGGGAATAAAACTTTTGTAACTTGTCTATCTTGTATGTTGACCACTGAACAAAGACAAATTATCTGGGGGTACTATTAACTGTTCTTCCACCCATGTTCCAATAATGGAACCTGGATTTTGAATTATAAGAGCAATTGAAGTTTTAATATTTTTTAAGTATATTTAAAATTTACATTATAAAGTATTTTTTAAATTTAGTTAGATTTTGTTTTTATAATCATTTTATTTCAACTTTAAATTTACGAAAAATTCCAATTTTTATAGTTTGAATATGGTATATATGAGTTTTTAAAAAGATAATATATAACCTACTGCTCGGCATGAAATTCAAAATTTTAGTTTCAAATTTTAAAATACAGTTCAGAACCCGTTATCCGGAAATCAGAAAACCGGAAAACCAAATAACCGGAACGAAATTCAGTACATTTTCCCGCCATTTTTTTAAAAAAATAATTTTTTCCTCATAAGATTTTAGGATTTTTCTTTCTTTTTAGAAAGATGTTTACCATACCATCATTTTAGAAATAATCATTACTGTATTACTTCATCGTTTTTTCTTCTTTTTAAGATTATTTCCAAAATTTTTTTTTTTAAGTTGGGTTTAACAATAAAAAAAACGGCTTTTTGTAGCGATTCAGAAAACCGGAAAAATCAGTTATCCGGAATAGCGATGGTCCCGATCGTTCCGGATAATCGGTTCCCTACTGTATTAGTTTCATTTTTGGGACATTGTTGTTTTTAGATGTCATGTGATTCATTGAGTTATGTTGTGTGCAATTTTGTCAATTGGAATAATGACTCTTCTTCAAAAAAAATAATAATGTTGAAACGGGGTGAATGTGTCTATGTTCAACTTCTTTTGAGCATGAAGGTTAGAAAAAAACACAAATTTGCGGGTGGCTGATAACAGAGTCATATGAGAGACTATTGTAATACTTAGTAATGGAAGATATACATTCATTCATACTCAGTAATTTTCTTTTTTGTTGAGATTCTAACTATTGAAAAAGAAATTCTTTTTGGTAAGGTTTTCGGGGGTGGGGTCATACTTTCTCTTACTTATTTGACAATTCAATAATATTATGAATCGATTTTTAGTATTGGTAGTTTTTTCTTCTTGATTCTTGTGATTTTTTTATATTTCCAAGATATATTTGAAGTTACCAAATGAGTTAAAGAAGGTTCTTTTTTTTTTCCTTTCATTTACAAATTTTATTTGATATTAGGAGACTTCTACCTTCCCCCTTTTGATTTTAGGTTAAATTCGTGTTTTCTTGATATTAATGATACTTAAGCTTTTGATGATGCTGTATTTTTAGACAGCACAGTATCTTTTAAAAAAGGTAGAAAATAAAGAGGTTGCTATTTTAGATTCGGGGAAATAATAGTTGATAATCTTTAAGTCTTCTATGATTTTTTTCTCAAAACTTTAAAGCAATAACATGATGTAATTTGTGGTTTTTCTAGTAACTTATTTAAAACTACACGTTTGTCAGTTTTTAAATTTTTAAAATCTAATTTCATTACAGTTTAAATTGATGGAAACTAATTTGGATGTAACTAAGAACATCTTCTAACTTTAATTGCATAAAAATAAAGATACTTATCAAAGATCTAAAAACAGGCAACTGTATACTATTTAACTTTTTATTGAAAGCTGTTGGTTGCAGAATTGTATTGGCATAATTTTATCTGAAAAAAATCAAAAGAGATTCTAAAATACTGTGTGTTTTATATCTCCAATTGTGATTGGCTGCTGGACATGTATTTTACATGTATCGAAAGATTCAGCGAAATAAAGTAATTATCCATCAGTTTTTTGTGAAAATTAAATAATGAGGATTAAATGCATTTTAAGAACTTTCCTTCCTCGTCTTCTCCCCTCTAAAAGTTGAGTTTGGTGGGAAGAGAAAGGACCTCTTAATGTCTTGTCTAATATATATATGAAGATGCAAGAAGCAATATATATATATACTTTTTGAGTTAGATTGGAAAGATTTAGTCATTTACCAGGTACAGCTTGATGAACCAGAAGATTTAATTGATATGGAAAATATTGATAAATATTTTAAGATATTATTTTTTAAAGTAATATTAGAGCAGGTAGAATGGAAAATTTAAATCTCCAAAGCAAATGTAAATAAATAAGAAAAAAAAACAAAGTGAAAACCCCATTATAAAATTGAAAAAGAGAGTGAGGAAATTAAATGAACCAACAAAAAGCCAAAGAAATTTCTTCAACAATGAAAATAAACTCTTGAATCATTTTCTGTTCTCTACTATTTCTGGAGAATAGGTAGAACAAATAATCAATATTAGATCATTTCATACTTTACAAACAGTTAAAACTAATATCTTTCCAAAACTAATGTCTTATAATTTCCTAGACTTCTAAGTGGATATTTCTTTCTGAAGACATGTACTTGAACACTGTTTAAGCATCATTAGCAAAAAAGGCTTCTTTAAAATGTCTAAGTTCCAAAAATAAAACATTTAAAAATCTATTAAGAATTTTTTCACACAATTTTTTATTTTGATAAATTTCAAGGTTTTTGGATACAGTGTTGAAATTAGTGTAAAGTTTTTATGATTGTATTTATATTTTTGTGATGCATATGCAATTAGAAAATATCGTATTGATAATTTAAGAAATTATATGTATGACAATATATTCACATCTATTTTTTTAAACTAATCAGTTTAGTATTCATGTAACAAATTATTTTATTAAACTTTGAAATACAATTATCATTAAAATCATAAAACATAAACTATTTTTAGCTTAAAATACACTTTTCAGACAAAAAAAATAGCCTTTATTTCATACACATTAGCTTTAATATTCCCTTTGACAACTATAATTTAAATAATAAGTTCAGTATAATTACTGAATCTGAACAGCATAAGAATATTAAATAATGTTAAGTAATTTACCTTGTCATCATTTGTGCCAATTCATATTTCTAATTCGAACTGCAAATATTCGCATTTCATTTAGAGTATTTGTGTTTCTCAAGTGTTACCTGACGAGCAATAATTCCCAAGGCATATGTAATTATTGAAAACAATCAATTGCTTAAATTTTGATTATTAGAAATAGATTAATTCCACTTTCAAAAGAAGAGTTTTTGCAATGACATCTTTTGCCAAAATCCTTTTGATTACTTTAATTTCACATTGTGCTTCATTGAATGTATGATTATAAATATTAAAATAGGCTATTTATCTTAACAAAATTAATGACACATTTTTTCCATAAGTAGACTTATTCCACTTTTAAAATTGCAGCTTAAATAATGAAAACTAAATATGTGAGCAGTGTATACTTTAATCATGCACACTAGACAAACAACAAATTTTTTTTTCTAGAGTGAGGGATCAAATTATTTAGAGAGAACTTCGATGAGGAATAAAAAGAGGTAAGTTCACAAAAAGTCAGACTGAAATAATTATTTTTGTGTCAGGATTGGCTATCCTAATGTTACACAATCACTCATGATAAATAAAAAAATTAATCATATATTTTGCTTTTCAAAAACAGATATTGCAAAAAAAGTTTAATACCGACATTAAAACAAAAGCAGCCAATCACAGCATGCTCATAGCCCCATGGTCCTCTGCAACTATAGTTTTTTTAAAGTAATGTTTTTTTTTGTAAAAAATGTAGGCCTTATTACTTTTTTATAATGGCTGGACAGAAACAATGAAAAACTCTTCAAACGGTGGATCTAACCTTTACAAGGTATATTTACCAAGTTATGAGCGTTTTAGCTGTTCACAGAAGAAGCAAGCTAAGGAGGTATTTTCTGTTCAATCGCTGGTTCCCTTACTGCATTAAAAAAATAATAATAATAAACTTACTGGTACTTTTCCTCAAATGAATTTTCAATTTATCAGAAATTTTGTTTTGCTTGATTTACAAAATTTATTTATTTAGCAAGCAAAAAAATGTGTTTTCTAGCCAATATTGTTCATAAAAATCTTAAGAAAAAGAAACTTACTGGTAGTTTACTTGAAATGAATTTTCAATTTTTCTTGTCTCGCTTGATTAAACTAGCTGAGACGAGAGTCACCCATCCAACCACCCCACCTTCCACCTCCAGGGTGGTTCATTAACTTCATAAAAAAAATAATAAACTTTTACTGGTAGTTTCCCTCATATTAATTTTCAATTTATTGAACCTGTCCTATACTTGTTCACAAGTTATTTTATTTAATCAGCAAAGGCAGTTTTCCATCGAAGCACCCACTACGCTCAGGGTGGTCCTTAAACTTCAAAGAAAATAATAAATATACTTTTACTGGTAGTTTCCCTTGCATGATTTTTCAATTTATCGGAAAGTGAACTTGTCCCTCTTGATTTATGAATGAATTTATTTATTAAACTGGCATGGATAGTTTTTTCCATTCAACCTCTCGTTGAGGGTTGTTCTTTAACTTCATTAAAAAAGAAATAAAATTTTACTGGCAGTTAAGCTCAAATGAATTTTCTCATTTATTGGTAATAAATTTATTTACTTTACTACTTTTACTTTATTGGTAATAAATTTATTTACTAAGCAAGTAAATACAGATGGTTCTTTAACTTGGTTTTAAAAAAAAACTAAACTTTTACTGGTAGCCATGGGTGCAAGTCTTCCGTCCCCAGGACGGATTTCCGTCTTTCGAAAATGTCCGCGGACGGAAACAAGACTGACTCAAAGACGGAAATCGGAATTTTTTTTTCTTCTGTCCTTAAAAATATTTTTAGGTCTACGTTATTGGTCTACTTTCTTATGTCCTGTTGTTATTTTATCAAAAGACAGATGAATAAATATTTTTTGTACAGTATTTAAACTTGATGTATTATGGTAAAGCTTTCTTAGATAGTTTGCATAAGTCGAGGGGGTATTGTGTATGTTAGGTATTTCAGTCAAAAATTTTTCAGTTTTGGGCTTTTTTCCAACTTGCACCCAACTGGTAGCTTCCATGAAATAAATTTTCCATTTATTTGAAATTGAATTTGTCTCGCTTGATTTACGAATAAATTTATTTACTGAGAAAAGAATTCAAAATAATTAAAGTAATTAAAAACAATACTTCCAGTGGAAAAATGCACCATGCAGCTGAAAATCCAAAAGAAATTGAAACAATGAAAAAATTCGACAACCGAAGCTGACGTCTTCAGGTGGTACCAGCTCCGGAAGCCAAAAATGCCTAACCTTTTCTATCGAGAGAGCACAACAAATGTCTAAATTGCTCTCTAGAATAGAATACAATACAAAATATAAAAAGATTATGCCAGAGAATGTAATATTAATAAAGGTTTACTCTTAAGTAAATTTCTGTTTCATTTCAAAAACACAATCCATAAATATATATAAAAACCTAATTCCTAAGGAATTTTTTTTTAATTTTAATCTTCAAAGTCAGTGTTAAAAGAAAGGCGTTCCTTTTGATTTCTGAAGAAATTTATTTATTACGCAAGCAAAGACAGTGTTTTTTTCTACTCGGCGTCTTCCCTACCCAACATTGTTCTTTAATTTCATAAAAAAAAGAAAGAAAAAAAGTCCCTTAATAAACGCTGTAATTTAAGTACTTTAGATAAAGCTTTAAGGTGATTCTTTAACTTCATAAAAAAAATAATAAACTCTTACTGGTAGTTTCCATCAGATAAACTTGAAATTTATTTGCAATTGAAGTTGTCCTGTTTGATTTGCAAATATATTTATTTATTAAACAGAGACAGTGTTTTCCATCGAACCAGCCCTCCTTGCGCCCAGATTGGTTCTTTAACTTCATAAAAAGAAATAACAATTAGCTTTTATTTGCTGTTTTCATCAGATGAATTTTCAATTTATCTAAAATTGTATCGCCATATTTTTCCTTGTAGTTGCAGTTTCTACCTATTAATCTAGTATTACCCACAATAATTTAACTCAATTAGGCTTACCAAGAGCATTCTTAGTCTTAGCGTAAAATTATGAACTGTTAAACAAAAAGGATTATGCCAGAGAATGTATTATTAAAAAAGATTTATGATTTACTCTTTAAAAGTGATTTTCTGTTTGAAAAAACAAAATCTATTAACAAAAAAAAAAATTATACAAGCATAATTCCTGAAGAAAAGGCAATTTTTTTAAAAATACATACATAAATCACCATATTAAGTGTTAAAATAAATAAAAAGAAAAAAAAAAGTTGCAATTTAAGTACTTAAGCTTTAAATATGTACTAAGTAAAATACTTTAAAAAAGTTGACAGTTTATAAAAGTTGACAAACGTTTTTTGTCTTTATATAATACTAACTTATAAAAAAGAAATCAAATCTTAATATTAGAACATGAATAATTTTTATGATTCTAAAAAGTACAGTTAAGGAGTACTTTTCAAATATACCAGAAATATTATGATTTTTTCTTTAAGAAATTTTTCTTCGTATAGCTATTTTTTTGATTGATTAAAAATTATGATATGAAAAAATATTTGCTGGAAAGGGATCAAACTTTAACTAACAATTATGAAATTTCATAAAAAAATTTATCCAATGGAAGGCTTTATATGATATAAGAGTTCTTGAAAAGGAAAAAAAAAGGTAGTAATTATTTTGTGAGGCTTAAAAATATAAATAAATCCAAAATTTTAGACACTATTTATGAAAAAAACTTAAGATCATTTGTTGGGAACTGAAATAAATATTTTCCATACATTTATGACAATAAATAAAGACATGCCAATTTCTCCAGCTTTTAGTTAATTTTTCCCAGCTATTGGCGATTGAAATGGGCTGCAGGTGGCGTAGAGCAGAACTCTTTTCCTATGGCAACACTTCACATGCTTTCCCCATAAGCGTGTGGAAAGTCAGAGAGGAAGGAAGTACGTTAGTTTCTTTCTTGATTTTCATATAGATTAAAATCTTTTAACTTGAAAAACTATATGGAACTGATAACTACATTAAACATAGTTCTAAAGGAAAGTATCATGGAAATTTTCAAAAATATTTTTATTAAATAAAGAGGAAAAATATTAAGAAAGGGGAAAATATCGTAGCACATTCCTATACAACTGAAAAGAGGAGGAGAGGGAAGGGAGAAGGGCTAAAGGCATGAAACCGGTCTCTCCCCAGATGGCGTATTCGAGTGTTGCGATCGCGAATATAAAGTAGCAGATGAATTTTTATTTAAAAATTTGAATTAAATAAAAATATTTTGAAACTTATTCTAAAATAAAAAATGACAATTTTATGGTAAAGCATAGAATATTTTTAGAGGTGAAGTTGGCAAAGATTTTATTTTCATTTTGCAGAAAAAAATGTTGAACCTTATAATTTAAGTAAATATTTTTTAATTACATATTTTTTTAAATCAAAACAATATAAAATTATGCATTACATTTTATTTAATTACTTGTAATACTGATGAAAATTAAATTTTAATTGAAATCTAATAATCTAAAAACAATCAGCAATCTACTATTTTCTTTGATTGCCATATATTTTATAAGGGAACTAAAATTTTACGTTGCAAAAATAAAAGATAAGGAGCATTAAAAATATTTGTTTCCAAACAAACTCTCAAGGAATGGAATCAAGTTAAACAGTCAGCAAAAGAACTAGACATCTTATTAAATAAATGTAAGTAATATAATTAACAAGGAATATGAGGATGAATAAAATCAATAGATTTAAGAAAAAAAAAAGTAGCAATGAAATTCTGATTTGATATTTTGTGAAATGAAACTGTAATCAAATAGTTCTTTTTAGCAAATATGTAAAAATTTTTTTTATTCAACTACTTTAAAAAATGCTAGGATTTATAGTCCATTCTTCCATTATCCTTTCAATAACTGACATAACCATTTTATTGTCATTCTTGGAGACATTATAACTCACAAACACTTGTTTTCCCATTTTGTTACATAGTTTTGAAGCAATGGAACAACTTTGATCATCAGAGAAATTTCCAATTAAGTTACAAGAAGTTGGGTATGTATTAAATGGTGTCTTCATAGCTACTGCTAGGCTGCCTAAATCACCAGTATCACCAATCCAGAGAAATAGACTGTCTTTCATTTTGATTAGATAAAATAAGACTCTTTTATCAAGTAGAAAGCTTTCAAACATGTGAGTCTTCATTAATTGACCTAAAATTAACAGATAACAATAATGTATTCAATAGAATGCAAACTTAAATCATGATAATAAATGTCACCATTATTATGCAAATAGAGATGGTAAACACAGGTGGTATTAGCAGCAAAAAAATGGGGCTTCTGGTCCTAATTCATCTATTTGCATGCCAAAGCTTTGAATTTACACCATAATGCCAATTTCCATAAGGTATATTTATTCTTTATGAGGCTACTTGCAAATAAATAATTACTTTTATGACTTTCTCAATATTTAGAATGATAGAGTAAAATAAAAATCACAAGAAAGTGAGTTTATGTGTAACTAGGGCACAAAATGTTCACCTAAGAGCAGAGAACAAATATTAAAGACTAGCGAAAGTTTCATTTTTTAAAATAAATTAAAATAAAGAATGCTTAAATGATCATGACTCAATGAAATAGTGTGGTATGTGAAAGTGTTTAAAAACAAAGTGATAGACTTTATTTTTTATCTAGAGCAAAAAATGCTGACTTATCCACTTATGAAAGCATTGCTTCTGGAAATATTGAAATGTTAAGACAGCCTTATTTTATTTCATGATTTATGTTGCTATGAATATGTTACAATATCATTAATAATTTAAAAAAAATAAATCTAGCTATAATATTGTTATATATTTTAAGTACAGTAAAATAACCTGGGATTTCGGCAGGTTCAGAAAATACATCGACAATTAAAGTTCAAAATTTACTTCATTCAATAAACCAAATATTCATTGGTGTTGGTAAATGAAAAATAAACAGACAATAATCGGTAAAGTACCAACCCCTCACCAAAGGTGGTATTCAGTAAGTAAACAGAATTTACGATTATAAGAAAAACTACTCTTCCTCATGCTATTTTTTTAGATTATGAAATTTAACTGTTAACACATTGATGATAAATTGGTTATAATCTGTTGTGAGACAAAAAAGAAAGGTTCTGAGGATAAAAGAGTAAAGTTAATTAGGAATTCTTGTTTAAAAAATGTTGCATCATAATAAAACCACTGCTAAAATGAAAAGTTAACAAAAAAAAAATGAAAAGAGAAACAGAAAAAAAAATTTATGTTACTGATTGCTAATACTACTGTACAAGAAAAAAGCGAAATAAAAGAATTAAGTCTATCAGAAACACTCATTTAAAACACAAACACATTTATAAAAACAGTGAGAATGAAAGTAAGAAAAAAACATTCTCAATACTTAAAACAAAAATGTAAAAAAAAAAAAAAAAAAAATTAGCAATAATATCTCTGCTGATGGCANTAAACAAGTAAAAAAAAAAAAAAAAAAATTGACATGCATGAATAAAATGAGAAAAAGTAGCAGTACAAAAACTCGTGGTTCAGTGTTAAGCAATTTTTCAATTCTTCAAATTTCGCTTTTGGAATTTTTATTTCAGAACATAAATTTCCAAGCTTTTGAATTTTAGAACTTAACCAATATGTATAAAAACTATTTCAAATAATGTATAGTTAAAAATTTGATATTAAGTCCTTCTTTATTAAATCCATTTAAAATTTTTTTTGTCAAATACTTTGCTGAATATTTCTTCAAATGCTTGGAATATTTGTTATATCCTTAACTAGAATAATAGTATACTTTCTATATAAGTTTGCCAGATATTTCCATGATAAAGACAATATTAGAATCTGGATCAATACACTTTTTGAAATAAATTAGTGTGCATCACTGAGTATGAAAAATTTTAACTTAAAATTATCAATGATGGTTAAACTAAATATAGTTTTACAAATATAAACATGTAAATTTCAGTAATTTTGTTACAAAATATCTGCAAATATTATTAGTATTTACAGATAATATTCTTATATTTTTAAATAATGAAATAAGAAAAAAATAAAACAAGTTAACCTGAATTTTCTTCCATCTCAAAAATAGATCTTTTTTCATACACAATATTTTTTTATCCAATATTGTATCGTGGATAAGGAGGAGATTTTTTAACAGATGCTTCAAGTTTTATAAAAATCTAGACAGATAATAAATATAATTATTAAAAGTTTGTTGAAAAAATATTAATAATTACAAATGGATTTATTTTATATTATTTTTTTGTCAAATTATAGATCAGGTATTTTGGTAATAATAGTAGTTAAGTTAGTCATTCAGGGAAAATATAGTATGTTCGAGAGGTCTATCCGTAGTTTCTTAAGACATTATTAAGTTAATTAAGCATCTTCGTTTTTTAAATTGAAATTACGAATGCACTTAGTTTGTCCAAAACTTGCAACATAATTTACAATAAATTTGGGAAATACCTGTACAGCTAGTAATGCCAACACTGGGGTCTACAAGTTGGCAACATTTAGTAAGAAGAAGGATTCATTGCAGGAAGATAAATTAAGACAATCAAATTATTTAGGTTTGAATCATAGGGTTTATAAATAATATGATCAATCAACTATATTAGATGGAAATAATATCAGTAAAGTAAAAAAAAAACACGTCTTGAAATGTTGATTAATTCAATTTAAGAGCTTATATCAAATCTATAAGAACATGCAATAATAAAATTTTAATATATTAGTAAACAACGAAAAAGTTAAAGTATTTACTACAAATGCCATGTGAAGATTAATATAAGAAAGAGTGATAAAAAAAAAGTTTAACAGAAATTAATTTAAGGTGTTTTTGTATGTTGAAATTTACAAATCTTTGGGAAAAGGAATTTCCTTGTTTAGAATTTAAAAAATACAGATTAAGAATTAAACACTTTTTATTTAAACATTCTGATTTCTGAATTACCTCTTCAAAAAAATTTTTTTAGACAACTAACCGGAATTTACAGCAATCATCATACACTTGATTGTTTAATTGATGATTTGAAAACGGGAAGAGCACAGCCTCCTATTTCTTCTTTCTGTTCTTCGTTTCCGGAAACAAAACAGCCTCAAGAACAGGTGTTTTTCACCTCACGTTAAAACTGGTGCGCACGCATAGAAAACACAACTACCAATATGGACCTTTCTTATTGCATGTTATTCACGTAACTTCGATAATTTTCGAAATAAAAAGGTGAGTTTCTGGCTGGAGACCATATTACACTAATCAGGTCTTGAGTCTCTCCAGAATATCGGAGAGGCTGCACAAATGTGAAGCATTCAAAATGCATGAGATTTGCATTTGCGATAGCGCTATCGCAAATGAAGAATTATGCGCGCATAATTCTGTTTCACGTTTTAGCAAACAGTTCGTCCTACATGTGGTTTTTAACAATCGCATGCTCGTCTAGAGCGAATAGATGCAGTGTGAAATGCTCTTGCGGCAGCAAGCAGGTAGCAAGAGACACATGGTGCATTCTTATTGCATGCAATTTGCATAAGCGATCTCAGGAAAATGCGATTCACGCGTTTGAGAAAATTTCGAATCATATTTAAAGGTTATTTTCCCTTAGGGGCATTTTTTTTTCATTTGCGAAAAAACTTGCATGTAAATTGCAGCAATACTAGGGAAATATTTTTACCCTGGGGAAAAAAAAATCATTAATCAGGTTCTTGATCACCAGCTGAAAAATTGCATTCAGTAAACGGTCCTAATCAATCGCACACAAGTCTAACAAGACACGGTTCCTAGCAGATCACTGAAATCAAGCATCACTGGATCTACAGGGGATCAAAATTGTGTTGGAATGTCTTCGGATCATCATCAGGGATGTTTCCCAGAACGTCGCCAATAGCTCATTGTAATCTGATGGAAACGGATTCAGTGTGAATGACAACAAGACGGGAATTTCCAAGCGTTTGCATTACAGAGGCATTCACACTGGATACAAAAAAATTCTCATGAGCGAATTTGGAGATGCAATCTAGAACCTGAGTGAAAGGTTTTTCGCGGAAATTGCGACAATCAGTTTCTTATTCGTATCTCAATTCGGATACTCAAGTTTTTCGCAAATAGTGTGACTGGTCTTTTTAGGGACTATTCTTACTGTATTTAATTTACGCATTTAAAATCGCCGTCAAATGAAAGGAAGAATCTGATCATTGATCTTTTTGCGGGAAATAAAATTTTACCAATGATTTCTCATTCTTTTTCGACGGGAATTTTATGCAGTGAGAATGACCTTTTTGCAATTGCCCTTTCTTTCTAAGTGCTTGTAATGGATGGTGTTTTCAGTAGAAATGTAAACAATAACAATCTCGAGCTGTATGCCTGTTCTAGTTCCGGTTAGAAAGTTTGCAGCTGCTTACTACATGTTATTCTGCGAGGCGATATTTTCAAACGGCTAATTTTGTTTTCAATAAAAGAAATAAATTAGATGATTTTTGAGCTCAAATCTGAAGCATTTCATAAGATATTAACGTTATTATGTAATTCTGGTGAATTTTAAGTGAAAATTTGTTTTAGTCATTTAGAGATATATTGTTAAAAAAGGTGACATGGTTGCTAGATTTCGAATTACTCGTTTTTTTGGCAGTCTTGATTTGGTCTCTTTCCATTTGTTTATTACTGTTTGTTCGTGTTGCAAGCTGTGCACCTTCTTACGCTAGTGCTAGCATATTGTTCGAGGTGCAAGATTAAGTTTAGTAATAAGTATTCAAATACCACGTTTGCAAGAATCTCAATACCCAATGATCACGTTGTGAGCCAAATATCTTTAAAATACAACGAAAACAGTAACCCGGAAGTATAAGCGGCATACAGCTTGCAGCGCTCCCTAGTGTCGAAAATACCATCCATAAGATCCAGTTGTAGGAGAAGAGACTAATGTGATGGAATAAAAACATGGTTCGGGAATAATAATTTTAGATGTAAACATTGTTAAAATAATAGTTTTAATGGTTACATTTAAGTGTATGTTAGTTCTTAAATGCTTTAAAAAACGGCAAAATTAAACAATCTTAAAATTTCTTAATCTTCCAAACCATTAGAATCGATCCCTCACCAAGTGTTCTTTTCTTACAGAAAGGAAATGAGAAATTAATTATATTTGTTTCAAATAATGCTTCATACTTATGAGAGGATGTAATGAAAACTGTTTAAGCAATATATCGAACAAATAATTTATTTAATTTTCAATTGAAGAAAAAAAATAGAATATCCTTTATTTACATCATTATTATTACCTATTTGCAGATAATTACTCATAAGATCGAAGGAAAAAACCTGGCGTTGATTGAGAGTACAATAATGAAATTGTAATAAGTTTAACTAGATTTTTTAGAGAAATGAATGAGAATTTTTCGATTAATATTAAAATGTTTGGAGTGATTTCACAGCTTTGCCTCCAGAAATTGCTATATTTGTCAGAAAAATATTTCATAATTCTCATATTTAAAATAATCTAGATATATATATTATGCATTTATGTCTAAAATATCTTAGAACCAAAAATGCAATTTTAAGTTCTAATTATTTTCCAGCCATAGAATATTTACTTTTGGAAAACTACAGATTAATAGATAAATTAAAAAAAAAATCTGTTCTGCGATTTACATACAGACAAATATAGCATAATTATATATTGAATGGTCTAATTAAAAAATTGAAATTAAAAAATATGACGAGGAAAAGATAAATATATCCACTCAGGCTTGTTCACAAAACATTAAATTAGTCCCAAAATATTTTCAAATCGAAAGTTACAAAAGAAGCCGAAAATAGAAGATGAAGTCTAATTTAAACAAGTGAATTAAAATTTCTAATGAAAAAGTTAAACTTAGTTAGATTTCCACATAAACTATTTTTTTTAAAAATTTAAACTTATAATACGTTTTGTATCTTTAAAAATCTTATATTTTTTTTTGGCTCATATTAGAAATATACGTATAAATTTTGAAGGGAAACCCTCAGCTGTTGATTGATATTATGAGTAAAGATACTTTTTTGTTTAACAGACATATTAATAAACGTCTATCTTAAATTAATTGTGGCTTGCATATGTTATGAAGAGCACAAAAAGTTTTAGAATTCTTAATTCTGAGAATCCTTCACTCAATGTCTCTGGCTTAAGAAAAAGCTGAGATTGACCTAATTAGCAGAAAATTGTGATTTGTCCTTAGTAAATACAGAGACAATCAATCTTGCTTCTATCACACCCACTACATCCTCAATTCCGAATTCTCTATCCGCCATCACTGAATCTCCTAATTTCAGTAAATGGAGAATTCCACGCCTAATAGTCAGAATGTTTACCACCATATAATTTGGGGAAGTTATTTTTTCTGAAATTGCTAATCAAATTTTAAGGTGTTATGATTTTTATAGTTGGATTAAGTTTGTGCAAAGACGTCTGACGCAGCAGTGTTAAATTTAAGAATATTTCTTATTTTAATATAATAATTATAATGTAAACCCGGTATAATTTAAAAATTGGTATTCAGTATTGACAAAAGTAATTCAGGTATAATTTATAAAAAATTTATATTGTTATAGTTAAAGAAAATTAAACTAACCAGGGTTATATTTAAATTATATATTGGTTCGTAACATTGTTATAATTTATTTTTAATTTCATGGATCATTTTTAACATATAATGTCCTTTGGAATTTATCCATTAACACTAGTCCAACGACGATCTTCATCGACACCACATTCATGTGGCTTCGATGAAGATCTCGCTACAGTCTATAATGCTTATGATATTTTTTCAAATTTCATGTTGAAAGCATTCCGGAAGATGTTTAAATGTGTTTTTTGAAGGCAGATTAATAAATTTCGAAAGAACTCGGCTCATTCTATAAAACCGGACATTGAAGCTTTTCCCAACTGTGCTATTATTTATATCAAACTTATGTCCTAAATCTCAATTTAATAATCCTAATCGAAGTTTCATTAATACAAGTAGCAGTTGCTTCCTTGGCTTCAAACTTGTACAGATAGCAGAGCTCCAATTGTCCACAAAAAAGCAATATTCAGTAATTTTGTGTAGAAATGTAATATTGGATATGAATTCATGATTTTGTTAAAAGGGGGGGGGGGCGCTGATCTAAAACGTCTCTATTATCTAACGTAAGGTCAACGTCTGGTGATCTTGGTTTGTCTAAGTGTCATAAGAAACAACAACAAATATAGCACGATGGATGACCATTATTAGTTAACAGCATCTACAGTTAAATCACACACAAATTAAAAACGCCTTCCATCATATTTTGATGGTTTCTGTCTATTTAACAATAATAGAAGAAATTCATATAGCAGAATTTGCAGAGTCAATCTGCAACAAAAGTTTCCTAAATTCAAATTTGTTTGCGACCCTAACATAATCAGACAAAGACTTTTATTGTAAAAATTAAGCTTAATTCAACATATGTACATCAAAATTAGCATTAGAAGGTAGATAAAAATTATTCACAAAAAATGGTGTCAAAGCATGTTAGTTTTATTGGAATTTTTATTCTAAATGTATCTAACAATAGGAATTAAAAAAGAAAAGGAAATAAGTCCGTACCGCATATTGTCAATAAACGAGTTTTCCTTACTTAATAATTAATTTTAAAATATTTCTTGCCTTTTAGATTCCTTAATTGTCAAAATTCCAGTTAATTAAAAATCCTTATTTAGGATTTTCGAAAGACTTCCCTATTTCTTTGCTTATATATTTGCAGGTTGGCAATCGAATTTTGTTAAGAACTTTAAACAGATACTATTTGAAGAGGTTTGGGAAATAAAAATATAAATTTTATGTTACTTTTTTCAATATATTTTAGGCTTGTTTTTTAAATTTGAGAAGAAAAATAGTCTGGAAATGCTCTGATAATCCAAAGCGCTCACTGCCGTGCAGGAAGATTTTTATCACCGGGAAATACCTTTAATTCAGACATCAATTACGTCTCTAATTTAATACAAGGCATACTTTTTCGCCAAAAGCAGACATGTCTCGCCAAAATATTTCAAATCTCGCCTAGCTAAACAAATTTAAAGTTCTGCCACTTAAAGAAAAGTGAGAAAAACGA